TCATGGTGGTTTTTTCCAGTTCTGTGAAGAAAGTCAATGGTAGCTTGATGGGGATAGCGTTGATTCTGTAAATTACTTTGGGCAGTATAGCCATTTTCACGATATTAATTCTTCCTAACCATGAACATGGAATGTTTCTCCATAACAATTCTCTTAAACTGGGCGTGGTGGCAGGCACCTGTAATCCCAGCTACTCGGGAGGCTGAGGCAGGAAAATTGCTTGAACCCAGCGGGCAGAGGTTGTAGTGAGCCAAGATCGCGCTACTGCACTCCAGCCTGGGCGATAGAGTGAGAGTCTGTCTCAAAAAAATAAAATAAAAATTATCTTATTGGACACCAGATTTGCTAAATAGATTTTGGGTTTTGTTTTGTTCTCTCTTGTCTCAGATGGATGTTGCCCAGGTGAGATCATAGGGCACTGTAGCTTGGAACTCCTGGGCTGAAGCAGTCTTCCAGTCTCAGTTTCCCAATTAGCTGGGACTACAGGCCCAAGATGCTGTATGCAGCTCTTTTTATGCTCTTGTAAATAATGCTGGCGTGAAAATTTTAATACAAAAAGTTTGTACATGTTTCTGTAAAACAAGATTTCCTATGCCTCGTTTATGGATCTTTGCTACGTTTTGACTCTCCAAACCAAATTGTTAGTTGTATTGCATACCAAACCTAGCTCAAATCCTGTATCAACGTTAATTGCCCTCACTCTTCAAAATTGATATTTTTGGGTTTTTTTTTTTGACAATTGTAAATTGCATATTCTTGATGTATTTTTTTAATATGGATGTGTGTCCAAAAAGTACCAGACATGGACATTAACTTCAGGTTAAATATTTGAAAGACTCCTAGGCCAGGCGTGGTTGCTCACGCCTGTAATCCAGGCACTCTGGAGGCCAAGGTGGGTGGATCACCTGAGGTCAGGAGTTCAAGACCAGCCTGAACAACACAGTGAAACCCCGTCTTAAAAAAAAAAAAAAGAAAGCTTCCTTTCACTCCCCTCACTGTCAACCTGCTAATACTAGGGAAACCCGTTTTCCTTTTTAACGAGGTCATTTCTATGTACAGATGTGATGCAAAAGAAACTAATTGCTGAAATTTTCTTTCTGATGTGCAGCAAATATATAAACTTTGCCCTAAAATTATTTAAATGTAAACGAACATTTGGCTTTGTTGTTTCGATTGTTTTGTTTTGTTTCGTTTTGTTTGTGATGAAGTTTTGCTCTTTTTGCCCAGGCTGGAGTACAATGGCATAATCTCGGCTCACTGCCACCACCTCCGCCCCCTTGGATCAAGCAATTCTACCTTGGCCTCCGGAGTAGCTGGGATTACAGGCAGATGCCACCATGCCAGGCTACTTTTCTTCCCTTTCCCCTTCCTTCCTTCCTTCCTTCCTTCCTTCCTTCCTTCCTTCCTTCCTTCCTTCCTTCCTTCCTTTCTTTTCTTCCTTGTTTTAGTAGAGACGGGGTTTCCCTATGTTGGCCAGGCTAGTCTCAAACTCCTGACCTCAGTTGATCCACCCACCTAGGCCTCCCAAAGTGCTGGTATTACAGTGCTGGTATTACAGGAATGAGCCCAAACACCCAGTCTGTTTGAGTTTTTTTTTTTTTTTTGACTGAAGACCTTTAAGCATCTCATATCAATAGCATCATGTTATTAGCTACTTTCAGTTATTTTATTGTGAATGTGCTTGTAGACCTTTATCCACAGGAGGAGGAAAGGTAGCTCTTTTCAAAGAAAGGTGACCTAGTAGTTCTGAAGTTTCTTCTCTAGATGAGTGTTCCAGATCCTTGGATATTTCCTACAAGGAAACTGTTCAATAGTCTGTGATTCCAGAATTATACCATGCTTGCCACAATCATTCCTTTGCTCTCTAAAAATTATTTAGAGACTACAGAACAGTAAAGAAGAATAAAACAAAGGCATGGGCTGGGTGCAGTGGCTCACACCTGTATTCCCAGTTCAAGACCAGCCTGACCACCATGGAGAAACCCTGTCTCTACTAAAAATATAAAAATTAGCCAGGTGTGGTGGTGCATGCCTGTAATCCCAGCTACTCTGGAGGCTGAAGCAGGAGAATTGCTTGAATCTGAGAGGTTGTGGTGAGCAGAGATCTCGCCATTGCACTCCAGCCTGGGCAACAAGAGCGAAACTCCGTCTCAAAAACAAAAAAGGGCATGCATAATGGGAAAATATCAATTAACAACCAGTACGTGATCATTAAAACCAGAGAAAATGCAACACCCTTTCCTTGGGGAATCAGTTCTTGTCACCTCATACATATACAAATATATATAATATATAAAGTATATATATAATACATAAATCTTTTTTGAGGCACTCTCTCACTCTCTTCCACCAGCTGGAGTACAGTGGCATGATCTCAGCTCACTGCAGCCTCTACCTCCTGGATTCAAATGATTCTCCTGCCTCAGCCTCTCGAGTAACTGAGACTACAGGTGAGTGCCACTATGCTTGGCTAATTTTTGTGGTTTTTTTGATAGCGATGGGGTTTTGTCATGTTGGCCAGGCTGGTCTTGAACTCCTGACCTCAGGTGATCTGCCAGCCTCAGCCTTCCAAAGTGTTGGGATTACAAACATGAGCCACCTCACCTGGTCACCTCCCTAGTTTCTCTTTAAATGAAGTCCTTTTACTTACTGTTCTTGTAATAAAATAAGTGCCAGTAGAATGAACACTTTTTTTTTTTTAGACTGAGTCTCACCCTGTTGCCAGGCTGGAGTGCAGTGGCTCAATCTCGGCTCACTGCAATCTCCACCTCCTGGGTTCAAGATATTCTCCTGCCTCAGCCTGCAGAGTAACTTCAATTACAGGTGTACACCACCACACCCAGCTAATTTTCGTATTTTTTTATTAGAGAGGATTTCATCATGTTGGCCAAGATGGTCTCAATCTCCTGACCTCGTGATCCGCCTGTCTTAGCCTCCCAAAGTGCTGGAATTACAGGCATGAGCCACCATGCCTGGCCAGTACTTTCTTAAGAATAGTAAAAGGATATGGAGCTTTAAGGACTACCATAGGCCAGGTGCGGTGGCTCACGCCTGTAGTCCTAGCACTTTAGGAGACCTCTGGTGATCTACCTGAGGTCAGGAGTTGGAGACCAGCCTGGTCAATGTGATGAAACTCGTCTATACTTAAAATACAAAATTAGCTGGGCATGGTGGTGGGCCCCTGTAATCCCAGCTACTCAGGAGGCTGAGGCAGGAGACTCACTTGAACCCAGGAGTCAGAGGTTGCAGTGAGCCCAGATTGCGCCATTACACTCCAGCCTGGGCAACAAGAGTGAAATTCCATCTCAAAAAGAAAAAAAAAAAAAAACTACCATAGATGGTAGTCATTCTATAGTAGTCTTCCTTTTAGTGACAGTAACCTAGTGCAGAGGTTGATCTCTTGAATTACAGTATTTCAGGTGAATTCAAAGTCTCCAAGTAAACCTTTGCAAAATTACTAAGTAGTCTGATTCTATAGAACCACAACAATAAGCATGAGGAGTTTTATTTTCTTTTTTTTAGGTAAACCAGCGTTGTGCATCTGAGATTAAAATCTGTTGCCAGAGATTCACGGTGATCCTTTCAAAACAGCTGTAGGTGCCGGGCGCGGTGGCTCAAGCCTGTAATCCCAGCACTTTGGGAGGCTGAGACGGGTGGATCATGAGGTCGAGAGATCAAGACCATCCTGGTCAACATGGTGAAACCCCGTCTCTACTAAAAATACAAAAAATTAGCTGGGCATGGTAGTGCGTGCCTGTAATCCCAGCTACTCGGGAGGCTGAGGCAGGAGAATTGCCTGAACCCAGGAGGCGGAGGTTGCGGGGAGCCGAGATGGCGCCATTGCACTCCAGCCTGGGTAACAAGAGCGACACTCCGTCTCAAAAAAAAAAAAAAAAAAAAAACAGCTGTAGGTATTTTTGTTTTATCATTCATATTTCATAGCTGATACCCAAAGCAGATAATGAGGAATATTTTATATTTCAGTTGTTTTAGGGAACACTTGACTTTGAACAGCTTGTGGAAGCCATAGCTCTTAGGAGCCTATCTCCTTAAAGCTTTAATTTAATATCTGCTACTGATATGACTGAGGAAGAAGAGACAGGAGAAGAAGAAAAAAAAAGTTTTAATCTCAAGGGCCTTAGAAAATACCGTGCTACTCAGGTACAGTTACTGCCTAGCAATGAAAGGTAAATGTCTTATAAATTTGCCTCTTTACGCAGTCCTGCCAGAAATGAAAGAGGCAATCTGTACATAGGTTGTCTCATGTCCTAGACTATAGACCGCAGAGTTTTGGCTGCTAAATTGGCGAGTTCAGTAGTCTCTGATTTCTAAATTATGCTGTGCTTGCCACAGTCATTCCTTTGCTCTCTCAAAATGATCTTAGAGAACACAGAACAGTAAAGAGGAATAAAACAAATACATGAATAATGGGAAGCTATCAATTAGCAGTCAGTACATGATCACATGGTCGTCTTTCATCTAAAAAACAATCCCAGAGAATGCAACGCTCTTTCCTTGGGCTATCAATTCTGATCACCGCCTTTTTTTTTTTTTTTTTTTTTTTTGACAGAGACTCCTTCTGTTGCCTAGGCTCACTGCAGCCTCCATCTCTGGGGGTTCAAGCAGTTCTCCTGCCTCAACCTCCCTAGTAGCCGGGACTACAGGTGCACACCGCCATGTCTGGCTATTTTTTTTATACAAAAGTTTATTCTTTTTTTTGTTTTGTTTTGTTTTTTATAGAGATGGGGTTTCTCCTTGTTGGCCAGGCTAGTCTCAAAATCCTGACCTCAGGTGATCCGCCCACCTCAGCCTCCCAAAGTGCTGGGATTACAGGCGTGAGCCACCGCACCCAGCCCAAAAGTTTACTCTTAAATGTACAACAGCTCTAAGACAACACTTAATTCCAGCTATAGGTGGCAAAAGACGTTATGGCACGGAATACAGATGTTTAAATAAGAATGAAATAAAGGGTCACCATCTCCTCAGGGACAAGGAACAGCTTACTTTTTGCCAGATTTCTTAGTTCCACCTGTGGCCAGGGGCCCCTTCCCTGCGGCCTTTGCTTTTAGCTCTTTGAGTTTCTTCCGCTTTTCTTTTTGTTTCTGCTTGAAAGCCTTATCTTCCTCATCCATCTCCTTGGCCTGTTTCTTGGGCTGTTTCAGGGGCTTCTTCTTGCCAGCCTCCCAGCCAGATATGGCGCCTGCCGTCCCTTTCCCAGACCCTTGTCTAATTTTTGTAGTTTTTGGTAGAGACAGAGTTTCACCATTTGGTCAGGCTGGTCTCAAACTCCTGACCTCAAGTGATCCACCTGCCTCGGCCTCCCAGAGTGTTGGGATTACAGGTGTCAGCCATCAACTCTGCCCCCTCTATATTTTTAACCCTGTTCTCTCATGGGCACATTCCAGTTGGGTCAGGGCTCTAAGTCTGTGTATCACTAGTAGTCTCCCCCAGATTTCTCCTCCTCCCCCGTATCAAATAGCCCTAAAGCCTTGCTCCAGGTTCTTTCAAGGCCCTGTGGAACTGTGGTTAGGAACTGGGACTTGGGAGTCAGAGGAAGCTAGTCCAGTTCTATCCTTTCCGAACTGTGTAACGTTGAGCAGGTTATTTCTGAGCTTCAGTTTCCTACCTTGTAAACTGCAAATATTTCTTTATTTGTTGCAAGGATTGGATGAATGCTGGACGGTATGTACTGCTTAGCAAAATGCCTGGCACAAATAGTAAATTCTCAGTAGACGGTGGTCATGATGAATCCTTCTTCCTTAACGCACCTTCCGCCTGCCCTCAGCGCCTCCTTCTCCTTTGGCCAGTTGCCTTCCAATTGGTCTCCAGCCCTCAGCCTAGTGAGCTGCTTGCCGTTCCTTGAATCAGTCTTCCCTTTAAACGTGCTCTTTGTTCTTCTATCTGCTTAGTAAAGTCTACTCATTCATCAAAACTCCACTCAAGCCTTATTATCCTGATGATGAAAGTGTAAACTGACATAACTTCTTTGAAGAAGTTTTTTTCTTTTTTTTGAGACGGAGTCTTGCTCTGTAGCCAGGCTGGAGTGCAGGGAGAGGCGCGATCTTGGCTCACAGCAACCTCCAGCTTCCAGGTTCAAGCGATTCTCCTGCCTCAGACTCCCGAGTAGCTGGGATTACAGGCACATGCCATCATGCCTGGCTAATTTTTTATATTTTAGTAGAGACAGGGTTTCACCATGTTGACCGGGATGGTCTCGATCTCCTGACCTCGTGATCCTCCTGCTTCTGCCTCCCAAAATGCTGGGATTAGAGGCGTGAGCCACCGCGCCTGACCTATTTTTTTTTTTTTTTCATTTAACAATATTTTTTAGAAATCAGTGGATATAGATAGGCTGGGCGCAGTGGCTCACGCCTGTAATCCCAGCACTTTGGGAGGTGAGTGGATCACCTGCCATTGGGAGGTTGAGACCAGCTTGACCAACATGGAGAAACCCCGTCTCTACTAAAAATACAAAATAAGCTGGGTGTGGTGGCACATGTTGGTAATTCTAGCTACTCGGAGGCTGAGGCAGGAGAACCACTTGAACCCAGGTAGCAGAGGTTGCGGTGATAGGAGATCGCCCCATTGCACTCCAGCCTGGGCAACAAGATCGAAACTCCATCTCAAAAAATAAAAATAAAATAAATAGAAAATGCAGGGCCGGGCACAGTGGCTCACACCTGTAATCCCAGCACTTTGGGAGGCCAAGGCGGGTGGATCACGAGGTCAAGAGATCGAGACCATCCTGGTCAACATGGTGAAACCCCGTCTCTACTAAAAATATAACAGATTAGCTGGGCATGGTGGCGCGTGCCTGTAATCCCAGCTACTCAGGAGGCTGAGGCAGGAGAATTGCCTGAACCCAGGAGGCGGAGGTTGCGGTGAGCCGAGATCGCGCCATTGCACTCCAGCCTGGGTAACAAGAGCGAAACTCCGTCTCAAAAAAAAAAAAAAAAAACCGAAAATGCATTTATTTGTATAAGAAAAAAGAAAGGAGTGATATTTATAATGGGAAGATGGTGGGTGCTTCTGATGGGTAGTCAAGGGTCTGGGTGAGAAAAGATTTTCTTTTCACTCTATATTCTTTTGTATTGTTGGGAAAATGTCTAACTATATTTGCATATATATTAATTTTTTTTTTTTTTTGAGACGGAGTTTCGCTCTTGTTACCCAGGCTGGAGTGCAATGGCGCGATCTCGGCTCACCGCAACCTCCGCCTCCTGGGTTCAGGCAATTCTCCTGCCTCAGCCTCCTGAGTAGCTGGGATTACAGGCACGCGCCACCATGCCCAGCTAATTTTTTGTGTTTTTAGTAGAGACGGGGTTTCACCATGTTGACCAGGATGGTCTGCATCTCTTGACCTCGATTCACCCACCTCGGCCTCCCAAAGTGCTGGGATAACAGGCGTGAGCCACCGCACCCGGCTGAATTTTTTAATTAAAAAAAATCTAACACCTCTTCCTTTGAGATGCCCTGGCTGGCCCTCTCTGTTCCTTCCAGGAGTTTCTCCTTCCTTCCTACTCCTATTTCACGGTGTTTACTTCTATTATATTACAGCACTTATCTTGTGTATCGAAGGTTTCCCTGGAAAGTTGAGAGTATCTAGAAGTATACTGTATTCATTTTTATGTTACTAGGATCCATTGTAAAGTGATACACATGTGCACATATACATTTTTAAAGTCAGTTTTAACTTCTTTACACATTTTTGTAAGAGTTAATGGAAAAGTCTCCCATTACTGATCTCTTTCACCACCACCCTTATCATAGGCTGCTTGTGCACAGGAGACTTTGAGCTCTTTAGATGCTTTTACAATCTCACCCCAGCCTGCATTATCAGACATCTCCAGCAAATCTTCCTGTGGCTCCTGCTACAGCTGACTTTTCACTATGTGTCCATAACATTTTTATTTGTTTATTTTTATTTTTTGAGACAGCATCTCACTCTGTCGGCCAGGCCAGAGTGCAATGGCATGATCTCAGCTCACCACAACCTCCGACTCCTGGATTCAAGCGATTCTCCTTACTCAGCCTCCTGAGTAGCTGGGATCACAGGCATGCACCACCATGTCAGGCTAATGTTTGTATTTTTAGTAGAGACAAGGTTTCAGCATGTTGGCCAGGTTGGTCTTGAATTCCTGACTTCGTGATCCACCTGCTTCGGCCTCCCATAGAGCGTGGATTACAGGCGTGAACCACTGTGCCTGGCCTGTTTTGTTTTTTAAATATCCACAATGTCCTCACCCACTTGTTGCCTTTATTCATGCTGGTCCCTCTACTGAGGTCCTTAACTCTGCCAGCTTAGACTCCTTTGAGACCAGCTCATGGAAGTCACTTCCTCTTTGAAGCTTCTCTGTCCTCCGCCCCACCTATCAATCTTAGATAAGCTTAACTTGGTTTCCACTCTCTCTCTAATGAAACTGTGTGATCACTCATCATTATGGCGATTATCATTTTACACGTTTGTCCTCCAGACAAAAATAAGGACTCTTCAGAGACAGGGATTTTTGCTTTATCTTACTCTTCCCAGAATTTATGCTTGGCACATAGCAGGCACTCAATAAATAATTATTTCATGAATGGATGGAGGAACAAGTTAATAGTAAGTGCTCATAATAGTTGGAGGCGCTGCACTTGAAGGCTCTCCTCAAGTTACTTATTAGGGGCAACACACCCGTGTGCTGTTTGTCACAGTCACATCTTGGCATGGCACCTTGAACTGGACCAGGCTTTCTGGTGGTGTTTGCCATTCTAATACAGGTGTAGAAACCTAATTACATGTGCCCTCTGTGAGCGTGCAGACCCTGAAACTAGGATTGCTAGATTTAGCAAATAAAAGCACAAGTGGCCCAGTTAAATTGGAATCACATTGATACCTTTTGAGATAAAGGAAAGAAAAAAAGGAAAAAATTGAATCACAAACAACAAACTATCTTTTTTTTTTAAGACAGGGTTTCACCATTTTGGTCAGGCTGGTCTTGAACTCCCAACCTCAGGTGATCCACCCGCCTTGGCGTCCAAAGTGCTTGGATTACAGGTGTGAGCCACCATGCCTGGCCCAAACTATCTTTTTTTTTTGAGACAGAGTTTCGCTCTTGTTACCCAGGCTGGAGTGCAATGGCACAATCTCGGCTCACTGCAACCTCCGCCTCCTGAGTTCAGGTAATTCTCCTGCCTCAGCCTCCTGAGTAGCTGGGATTACAGGCACGCACCACCATGCCCAGCTAATTTTTTGTATTTTTAGTAGAGACAGAGTTTCACCATGTTGACCAGGATGGTCTCGATCTCTTGACCTCGTGATCCACCCGCCTCGGCCTCCCAAAGTGCTGGGATTACAGGCTTGAGCCACCGCGCCCGACCCCAAACTGTCTTTATTAATGTATGTCCCAAATACTACTTACACTAAAAAGTTATTCAGTTTATCTGAAATTCAAATTTGACGACGTATTTTATCTGGCAGCCTTACCTCGAAGGCCACATTTCCAAACCCTGCCTTCTTGTACTCAGATCCTGTAATTCTTAGATAATTTTATGAACTGTGCAATTTAATCATCTTATTAAATAGACAACCAGTCTTCCAACTCTGCTTGCTCTTCTACATGTATTTAAACACTTTGCTTTCTTCAAAACTCTTTTATTATATTTTAAACATCAGAGTTTAGCCACTTAACAGAATTGTATTTGAGAGGGCAAATCCTCCTGTATCTTTCCACCTGCATTCTCAGCATATTTTCTTGAAGTCTCTATTCTGCAGTATGTCTTAGTTAAAGGGAGATTCTCCCCAGGTATGGCAATGGGGCTGCTGTAGGCCATTAGAAACCCTGCAGAGCTGTCTGGGCTGTAAAATGCCACTTCCCTGCAGAGGAAATGTGGGAATGACACTACCCAACCTGGCCTCTGCACCGGCCTAGCTTGACAGCCATTATATACTGTTATACACTAGGCTTTCCCAACTTTTTGAAAAGTTAGAACCACGGGTGATCTGAAAGAAGGCATTTTCAGATTTCATTTTCTTAGCACTGGTAAATGAGCATGAAAACCAAAAATGCGGCGACCAAAGTGCAGCTGCACATACTTTAGTTTCACAGGCACAGTTCATGTGACACTGAATCGCATTCCCTTGAAGCTTCAAAGTGGATGACAGTTCTACACGACAACCTTTTCATTCCACGTAATTAATTTTCCCTGTGATAAGTCAGCATTCCTTCAACATCCAAACTTGAAAATTACCAGCTAACACTGTCCCTGGGTGTCTTAACTCATACAAAACATTTGTTTGGTACTCAAATATCACAGCTCTGCATTCTGAAAAACATGAAATGTCCGTCAGAAATTACTAAGAAGTGGTGACTAGAATTTGGAAGCATTTACAGTAGGAAAAAAGGGACGTGTTCAAAGGAGGTTGGGGTGGAGGTGCAATACTTGTGGCTGAGCATGGCTGAGAAGCATGGGGGAAAAGGCTCAATCCCAGAATGAAAAATCAATTCGCCAAGGCCATGATAAGACTGGGACATCTATCTCCTCCATATTTCATGAGAATCCATCCTGATGACCACAGTCATGCCTGCCATCAGAGCAGAGTTCAGGAGGACCAGATGGGTGCGCCTGACAGCTGTTTACAGCAAACAGACATCTACCACTGAGCAAACCATCAGAGAAGGTATCAGGTGAAGGGCTGGATCTTTCATCTTTGGAAATGGACTGAAGAGGTATTTAATGAGCTCTACTTCCGGGAGACCAAAATTTCTTTTTTATTCAGTTATTTCAAGCAGGGCTCCCAGTACATTTTGCTTGGTAGGGAGATTAATTTCAGAGCCATGGAGTCCTGTAGAATATATCCTGGATGTTTACGTTGCAAAAACCCAGGGCACTGTTATTTATTTCTTCTTTCAAAAAAGCAAGACACCAATAAACTACCGCTTAACTTGTAAATCACGAAAGTGACTAACCTGAAGGAAAGTTATGTGAGGACTAAGGAAGAGGAATTATTTATTCTACTGTAGGAACTGATCTATAAAGAGAACGATACGTTTTCTGATCATGCTTTGTTTCTCTAATCAGTTCTGTTTTCTGGTCATTCTTAGTAAGCTATAAAGTGTTCATCCATTTGTCAAAAATGAGTTTTCATTGCTTCAGGACCCATTCATTTTCTAAACCTGTTGCATAGTCAGTGTGACTTTGTGAAGTCACTTCTTTTGTTCCGTTCCCGTGTTGAGTAACTCTTTTTGCCCAACTCAGTACTTTAGGGTTTATTTTGGTTTGGTTTGGTTTTGAGGGTTTTCCTTAATTTGGTTTTGAGGAAGCCTATTCTCCGACATTATTCGCCCAGTTAGAGACTATTACCACCCTGGCAACTGTCTTCGACCTGAATTTTATTTCCTCTAGGAAGACAGGATGGAAACCCCGCTTTACGTTTTGGCTTCCCAGGAGCCGCAGCCCAGCCCGAGCAGCGCGTCAGGTTTCGGGCAGGAAACGTCAGGGCGCCTTTAAGAGGAACCTGCGGTAATTTTCCACCACCCCAACGACGCTGCGGGGCGCTGGGCGCGGCAGAGTGCGGCTGCGCGGTGGGGCGCGCGCCTCCGTTGCCAGGATACCGCCTCCTCCACCCCCGGCGCCCAGAACTCTTTTGTTTCCAAGATGGCCTCCGAATCCTGTTTTAGTGCGCCAGGAACAAAGCCAGCACCCTATTGAACTTAGCAGAAAGCAAGACTTGCAGGGCTGGCTTTCAGACTGTTCAGTGTGAATAGTTATTTACTGTTATAACCTTACAAAAATCCGTTCAGTTATGTTGTCTGGATGAGAAAAATCAAGGGCGTGCCTCCAGGTGTGTAAGGCACGGCCTTTCTGTGGCAGGGCTTTGACATTCGTTGTGGCTTTTGATAAGGATTCTGGCTTTTCTTGTTAAACTAGCTCAGGAAGAAGTCTAGGCTATGACGGTTGACTATGGAACCATATAATTACGTGTAGTTCAGTTTGGGTAATGATGTCCCCGGCCATTGTCCACTCCCTTCCCATGTGTTCATTTTTCTATTTTTCTTCTTCTTGAAATGTTAGTTTACGGCCAGGCACGGTGGCTCACGCTTGTAATCCCAGCACTTTGGGAGACCGAAGCGGGCAGATCACGAGGTCAGGAGTTCGAGACCATCCTGGCGAATACGGTGAAACGCCGTCTCTACTAAAAATACAAAAATTAGGTGGGCGTGGTGGTGGGTGTCTGTAATCCCAGCTACTGGGGAGGCTGAGGCAGGACTCGGTTGAACCCGGGAGGCGATGTGGCAGTGAGCTGAGATCGCTCCACTGAACTCCAGCCTGGGCAACAAGAGCGAGACTCCGTCTCAAAAGAAAAAAAAAAAAAAAAAAAAAGGTTAGTTTACACCCAGATTTGATCTTATAGTACCACTATATTGCAAGTTCTTTTTGGGATAGGAACTTTGTTTTTTGTTTGCTTATTACTATTATTATTATTTTTAGACAGAGTCTTCTTCTGTCACCAGGCTGGAGTGCAAGTGGCGCGATCTCGGCTCACTGCAACCTCTGCCTCCCGGGTTCAAGCGAATCTCCTGCCTCAGACTCCCGAGTAGCTGTGACTCTCTACCATGCCCGGCTAAAGGCACTTTTTTTTTTAATCCGTCTTTGTAAGCCAAAAGTGGCTCTGCCTGTAACAAACTTTCAAATAATGTTGCTAAATAATACTAGTTAACATCGAAAAGATAATGACATCTATTCTGCCAAGCACTGTCATAAGATAGCTACCTCTATTTATCCCCCGTTTTACAGATAGAGAAACTAAGGCGCTAGGAAGTTAAGTAATTCCCTGAGGTGCCACAGCCAACAGTGCAAGGTG